ATCGCTAGATAAATTAAAATTGTCTCCTTTCCACATGTCAGTACCATATGATTATATGCTGATCAGACTATTACTTCACTTAAAAAGTCGGAGAGTGATTTGTGTATTTTCACTTTCAGATCAGTCAATACAGTGTTGCTTTAAAAATTATTTCTTTACTTAAAAGTGTAAGCTGCATAGACCAAGTTCTTTTTCCACTCAGTTACTGACTGAAAACAGTCAACTATTTCAGTTTGTTAATTTATAGGTTTGGCTGGTTCATTAAAAGACTTTCCTATGCACCAATGCGTCAACAGTTAATCTTTCAGCTTTATTGTTAAATATCAGTATGTTCTGTAGGCCAGAAGTAAGAAACTGAAGTCCTATCAGATAAAAACCATCGTGTAGAATTAGCCCCAAATTGAACCAGGCAGATGGACAGACACAGACAAAATCAACGTAAAACCTCATACAGAAGTGCACCTGTTAAAGTTGCCACAACTCATAGTAGCATACAAGGAACAAATGGGCAGAGAGAGTGATATCTTAGTAGATAAAATTTTATGTGAGGAGGAGAAATTTAAAAATCCAAGTTGGTGAAAATGTTCAGACTTTAGACAACCTCAGACAGTGAATACATCCGTGCCATTGTGACTAAATTTTAGCCCTATCATCAAGGATTTACAACCATTGATTCTTATTATTCCGAGGACCCCAATCAGGCAGTCTACACCTCTTTACACACTTCACATCAGCAGTCAGAGACTTCATGGACTGGTGACACTTTTTGGTTTGGTCACACTAAGACTTCTCCTATGCCAAACCCACTTCGGTTACCATTGCATAATAAGGTAGACAGTCGCTCGGTATCCACAAATCATATCCAAGACACCTCAGTAGTTGAAGATTCACAACCTCATTGGTTGTCTTGCCCAACAGCCTTTGCCTAACCTGGAGATTGCTCACATTCCACCATAAGTGTGCTGAGCTACAAATATATCAGGTTTCAAAAAACTGTATTCTCTTCATATCTCCTACCTTCGACTTCCATGTCTCAGGCGAATACAATATAGAACACAGCGAACTATAGCGCAGTATGCTGGAAAGTAAAACAGATACCGGGAGTGAAATATCCCTGGGCGTGAACTATCATTAGGATTATTGCATTGAGCTATTAGAGATGAAAATATTTATGCTAAAAAGCTATTAGCTTATAAATGCAAACATGTACCGGAAAGATTTCCTAAGAAGAAACCTACGAGTAATATTATTATTTATGATTATTTGTCCCTTGGGTTCCTAGTGGAACATAAGGCTTCAGTTGCATGTCTCCATTCCACTCTGTTCTCTGCAATCTTTTCAACCTGGCTCCACAACTGCCCACAAGCTCTCATCTCTTCCTCACACCATCTCCTTCATATCACCCTTGCCTCGGATGCCCAACTCGCCGTCTCCCATCTGGGTTCCACTGGAGTGACTGGCCTGGCGGACGAATGATGTCTCCGAATGGTCTTCTCAGTGTATGCCCAATTCATCTCCACTTAATTCTGTATATTTGTTGAGCAATAGCTTCTTGGTTGGTTCGTTTCCAGACCAGAGTTTCTTGTTGCCTATTGTTTCTGGTCATCTGATGTTGAGTATCGTGCCAGTGTGGGCAGTTGTTGATGAATGTCTGTAGTTTGTTGGAAATGCTTTTCGTAACGCGTGAGGTCTCTGAACCATATAGAAGCACTGACAGACTTGACTGGGATTAGTGTTGAAAATCTGGATGTTGTTCACGCTTTATGCTGAGTTGAGTGCATTGGATCTCCACACTGGTTTCAGGTTAGTGAAAGCCTGTCTTGCTGTCTTTTCGATCCTGACTTTGACGTCCTCATCTGTGCCGCCTGTAGTTGTAACGATGCTGCCTAGATAGGTGGAAGAGTCTACTTTCTTCAAGTTTCTCCCGTTGATAGTGATTGGAGCTAGCTGTTGTAGATGTTGCTGCTGGTTGGGCATCTTCATCACTTGTGTCTTCTCTATGTTCACTCGAAGTCCTGTCTTCGCTGCCCTGCCTCGCCTCTTCTGTCAACTTGATAGTTTTCGCCTGTAGATTTCCGAGTTTGTGCGAGAAGACATTAGACACAAGTCATTGGCGAAATCCAAATCTTCTAGGATCTTTTCCGCAGTCCAGCGTATCACCCTCTTCTCACAGCTCCTCACTGTTGTCTGTTGCATGATCCAGTCCAGTCGACCACAATCAGGAATATCATGGGTGACAGTAAGCAGCTTTGTTTCACTCCTATCTTCACTCTTTAAAAGCATCACTGAGCTTCCCATTGTGAATTACTTGGCTGGCATGTGGCGTCGTCATATAGTTGTTGAATGGGGTTGATAAAGGTTTGTGGCACTGAGACCGCAGTGTTGAAGCAACTGCCAAATTACTTCTCGTTCGACACTGTCAAAGGCCTTCTCAAAGTCGATGAAGTTGAGGTAGAGTTGAGTTGACTGCCATTCTACACTCTGTTCTATGATGATGCGAAGAGCTGCAATTTGGTCCGTGCATGATTTGTACTCTCGGAAGCCAGCCAGCCTGTTCCGGTCGTGTTTTGAGTCCAGTGCATCCTTCAGTCTCCCCAGTATGATGAGGCTTAATATTTTGCTTGGGGTGGACAGTTACATGATTCCTCGCCAGTTCTTGCAAAGACTCAGGTCACCCTTCTTCGGCAGTTTGACAAGATAACCCTTCTTCCAATCACTAGCCAGGTGCCCTCCCCTCCTTCCCGACCTTCTGAAGAGTGGTGTGAGCATGTCCGATGCTGTTGTCTCTGTGTCTGTTCTCAGTACTTCTGGCGGGATCCCATCTGGTCCTGCTGCTTTCCCACATTTCAGTAGCTTAATGGAGTTCAGGACCTCCACTTTTGTTGGAGGATTTGAGTTCACTGGTAGTTCTGTGGCTGAAGAGCTGGTGGTATTTCTGGACGAGTTGCAGTTGGTGGTCGATTCAAGAGCTTTTTGAAGTGGTCAGCCCATCGTTTCCTTTGCTTCTCCTCTTTGCTTACTAGCTTTCCTTCACTATCTTCAATTGGTTTCCTCTGTGGTGTGTTGATCTCTTCCCTCCCAGATAGTAACCTGGTTATTTGATACAATGTTGTCAGGTCTCTATCTCTCCTACCTGCAGCCTGTTCTGCTTCACTTGTCAGTGTTTCGTGGAAGTGTCTTTTGTCTTTGCGTGCACTCTTCTTCACTTCTTTGTCCAGTGTTTTATACAGTGTACTCAGTTCCTCTTCTCGTTGTGCACCCTTGCACTGCTTTGTCTTCTGCTTCACCATCCTCCTCTCGCTGCTCTATCAGCTTCCATTTGTCCATCGAAATCCATTCCTTATCTTCTTTCTTCTTCCTTCCTAATACGGTTGTTCAGGTTTCTTTCAACATAGCTTTCAAAGAGTTCCAGTGCTCATCTACACAGGTTTCTTCAGGGATGTTGCTCAACGTCTCCCATTTTGCCATGGTGGCTGATGTGAAGATGTCCTTTGTTGTTTTGTCTTCAGTTTCCGGGTGTTGAACTTGAACTGTGGTCTACCACCGATTTCCTTGAAGGCTTTTAACTTGATTTTGATAGATAGATAGTGATAGATAGTGAGTGGTGTGAACCTACATCTACTCCCCTTCTTGATGTGATCTTGTGTCCAGTAGGCTGCATCTCCACTTTCTCCAGATTGAAATAAAGTCGATCTGATTTTTAGTGTAGTGTGTCCATCTGATGAAGTCCATGCTGCTTTGTGAATGTCCTTGTGTTTGTACACTGCCTCGAATCAACAAATCGTTGAATGCGCAGAAATCTGCAGCAGTTCTCCATTCTCTTTCATGTGAATTAATGACGCATTACTACAGTTTGATCGAATTCACACTGACTGCCTGGCCACAATTTTAACTTCACCTTCAATCATCACCAGTATCAATGCAAGTCTGCTAAACTACAGCTATTTCGGGTAGTCAGAATGATGACTAATATGATGCTCCCTCTCTTTAATTCACTTAGATTTGCATCTGGATGAGAAGTCCTAACTTAGCAGCCAATGTGAATACGATCAAACGGTAGTAACGCGTCACTAATTCTCATGGTAGTTGGTTGGAGTGAAATAAAAATCTGGCCGGCAGTCGGACCTCGTAGCTCAGTTTGTAGAGCATCAGGTAGGAAACCCAGTGGTCGCTGGTTCAAGTCTGACAGTGGTACAAATTTTCATTTCATCTTCAATCATCGCCCAGTATGAATACTAGTCTGCCGATCTACGGCTATCTCAGATAGTCAAAATGCTAAAACTTATTTGTTGTTCATCGTTATTAAGCATTGAATACTGGCTAACTTCCCAGTTTTATAGATTTAGTCAGCAGAACATCGACAATCCCAGCTAACCAACAGTATGAAACCTGGATAATTTAATCAATAATTCACTAGTTGTTCCTTTTATTTATCTCTAGAAAACCGAGATTACGTAGGGAAGAAGCAGTTAAACAGTGACTGGAATAAAAAGTTGATAACCATATGTTCCACACTGATTAACTGCTCCTATAAATAACTCCCAACAATTTAAATAAAACTAAAATCTGCTGAAACGTCCATCACGTGTATCACCTGGGTGAAGTGCTGAAGGTATTTTTGATCCAAATCATACCAACGTTCCCTCAAAATTTATCACTTACTTGTGCCTTGTTATCAATCATATTATATAAGAATCAATCTATCAATGCTAACTTTGCTTATTTGCTTTACAGAATTTTAGAAATTTTGAGTCACCAGAAAACTTTGAGTGCTGAAATGATCAACATAGTGTTGCATGTGATCTAGCTGCCATTGATTTTACCGCTGACATTTTTATATGCTACTAATGACAACTAATATAACAGGCTGCTAAGACAGTCAGAAGACGATTGTGACCTCAAATTTTCACCACATGTTTTAATCTAGTATTCACAATTTGCATGCTCATCAGCGGATGAAGTTCAAGAAGATTAGTAATCAAAGTAATAACAGTACTTACATCTACTCGTAGGCCTGTTCGATATGTCAGTCCAAAGTACTCAGTCTCTTGTAAATCCAGCTGTCTGCAGACTTTTTCAAACAAGTGAATCCCATAGGCATTTTTCTAGAGGAAGAATATAAGTTTATGGTAGGAATTAGTTTCACTGCAGAATACATGTAAACAGCTTAATTAATTGTATCAAAAAGTGCATATTCAACAAATAATATCGCTAAACATGTAATAAAATCCTTATGCATAATCCACTTTATTTCAGATGATAGCATTTAGTGTAACAATAACAAAAGATGTTATATAGATGAGCAATTAAACCTTAAAACAGAAGAAGTTGAAATTTATTATTCACTTGCATTCCTTCACTGCTACAATGAACTCTTATGTATTCACGCAATTGTAAGTGAGGGCTATATTCGGTGGCTGAAGTTGTCTAAAGATAAAACATCTAACAAAATCATCATCTCCCAGTATCGATAATACAAGTTAGCGAAACTCTAGAGACTATGGCCATCTTAGATAGTCTAACTCGTAAAAAATAGACTGATGAAAGCTATAGAGCATAAATCCAATTTGATCTGTCACAGTGTACTTCTATTTCAGGGATGTGCGACTTAGGTGGATTTACTTAATTTTTCCATATTCCTAGCGTTTATAATATTTGAGGTAATATATAGAGAAAGGCGGATTTTATTTTCTTCCTCCACCTGTTTTAGTAAAAATTCATACAGTATTCTTCGAAGTTATTTAGGTATCAGGCACAAATTACTAGTTATGTCTCATAAGTACTAAGAGCAACATCTCGGATTAAGAAGTGCAAATGGAGTAGGAATTTCAAATCGATATGGAAAAAAACATTTTATCTGTCAATCAGGGTTCTTAATTCATTTGGGATCAAACTGAATTTGAAAGCTACATCGACTCTTTGGAAGACTTCAACCCAGAATCGAACTTAGTGACTGAAGCACTAAGGTGGTTACAATAGAGACCCTAGATAATTGCGTGATCTCGTGATAAGGTGTTGGAAAACAGGGAGCAAACGTTGTGTGGAATTACTAAAGTTTATATGAATTTTTAGGAATGTCAATAACTGGTGATTATATCCATTTTAACATCCACTACACATCCTTACCTTATCTATCTGCAGCGAATGACTGATGATGATTAGGGAATAACATAGAGGAACTGGTCTGTTTCTTGTATACAGGATTTCTTGATACCAACCGTAAACTGTGCAATTCAGTGACAAAAATAAAAGTTCAGGATAAACCACCTTCGCTCATGGCTTGACTGAAATCAGAAAAAACAGCCAGCGATTCCCTATTCCACTGTGCATACATCAACTTCTTTTATTTTTAAGTGATAATGAACTGAATGCTACTTTTTAGATACAAAACAGAATAACCTGCTTGCACATTTAATTTTTTTGATGCTTAATCCGAATCCACTCCATCTTAAAATCCAAAAACTGGTTCATACTTTTGTTATAAAGTGTTTGCTTGTATGGTATTGATTTACAAAACTCATCGTCTTGATGCACGAAAAAATATCTAAATTCAGTCAACTGGCACAAATAAAGAATACTAGTTGTGATCACGACATGTTGAAACACATTTGTCGACCAAACTTCATCTGCCAATGCTATGAAATGTTAAACAGACACCCAGTGTTACAAAATTAGGTTTTACAAGCTCCTTAATTTGAAATTACGAGCTAAAAAATCGATAATACTATGGTATAAGGGTAAACATTTTGTGAGTTTTCAAAGAAAATTGATGAACACAACAAAAGTACAAAGGGTATTAGAATAATTAGTTAATAATTAAATCTTTTCAGGGTCAAAGATTCTCATAAAATTCTTGATGATTTGTCATTAAATCTACACATAGCTGAAGTTCAGAGCATTCATCAATTTACTGTTACTTTGTGAAATAAAATAAACACGGAAATGATTTAGACAGTTGAAGGTTAGCAGTAGGAAGCTAGTAATCTGGGTTTCTTGTCCGTTGGTAGTTATCATCAACCTCCAACTGTAATCTCAAGAAAACCGATATTCACTTAATGATGTCAGCTGCCATCAAAAATGTGAACAGTGAGCTTCGCCAGCCGTCAAGTTGGTAAGCCTATCGAATGATGACTACGACATGCCGATCAAAGTCCAAAAAGTTCAGAAAAACCCCCACTGGATCCAATCGATAACATTCTGCCTTCGGTTTCATCCGAAGTTGAATGCGTAGTGGGCATAAATCTTAAATTGTTTCTCACTATAGTGTTTTAAATGGCTTCCAAAATAGCGAGACTTAGTAAGGGAAATTGTATACATAAGTATCATTAAAAAGTTACAAATAATCAATTTCTTGTAATGTTGCTTCATTACTTTATTGTAAAACGTTTCCCTAAAATTCTGTTAAATGAAGAATGATAGGCAAATTAAGCAGACTTACTGACCTCTTATTGTTTTAAAGAGAAAGTATGAGATTGTATAGGAATTCTTCATTTACTTTCGTGAGTGTCTCGTTTGATTTTTTGCAACACGAATAAGTAAAATGGGTGTTGTCAGATAAATCTTTGAAATTTTGTAGGAAATGAGTGAATACAACAAAAACTCTATCAATTTGACCCTTAACATATGTGAGCGATATATAGAACATTTTTTAATGAAAGGTTTTTTGACCTATTTACCTGAATATAAATAAAGGGACGATAAATGAAGCTGACGTAAATATTGTGGTGCAACAGGATCAAAAATCGACAGCCTAAAAATTAATGATAACAACATAGTTGATTTAATCTGTCAACTATTCCTCAGTTCCGATCACCAGTGAGATATGTTAGTGTCACACCGAAAACCATCAGAATTCTGTGTAGGAAAGAGCTTTATTTTTAAGCGGCTGGTCTCCATACCATTAGTTAACTTAGACTATCTCAGTAATTTCTGAGAATGGAATGAATGAATGAATTTTACTTCATCATGCTCATTGCTGTTGGAAGCCTTCAAATGAGCTGATGATAGACCACAGTTCAAGTTCAACACCCAAAACAGAAAATGAACTGAAACTATAAAGGATATCTTCACGTCAGCTATCAGAACAAAATGGGAGAGATTAAGCAACATCCCTGAAGAAACGTGAGTGGAAGAGCACTGGAACTGTTGGAAAGAGACGTGGAAGGAAACCTGCATAACCATATTAGGATGCAAGAAGAAACAAGACAAGAAATGGATCTCGATGGACACAGGGAAAGTGATAGACAAGAGGAAGATGGTGAGGCAGAAGATGAATCAGTGTAGTGGATGGATGAATGACGAAAAAAGGAACTGAACACAACCCATAAAACAATGAACAAAGAAGTGAAGAAGAGTGCGCGCAAAGACAAAAGACACTTCCACGAAACACTGACAAGTGAAGCAGAACAGGCTGCAGGTAGGAGAGATAGAGACCTGACAACATTGTACCAAACAACCAGGTTACTATCTGGGAGGGAAGAGATCAACACACCACAGAGGAAACCAATTGAAGATAGTGAAGGAAAGCTAGTAAGCAAAGAGGAGAAGCAAAGGAAACGATGGGCTGACCACTTCAAAAAGCTCTTGAATCGACCACCAACTGCAACTCGTCCAGAAATACCACCAGCTCTTCAGCCATGGAACTATCAATGATATATATATTAAGCCGCATCACCCTGGAGAGACTAAAAAATGCTCTTGATTCAAAATTAAGATCGAAACAGGATGGCTGGCTTCAGGATGAACAAATAATGTGCAGATCTAATTTCAACACTACGCTACACATCATCATAGAACAGAGGATGGAATGGCAGTCAACTCAACTCAACCTCAACTTCATTAATTTTGAAAGAGCCTTCGATAGCATCGACCGAGAAGTAATTTGGAAATTGCTTCAACACTACGGAGTGCAAAAAACCAACCTCATTCAACAGCTACATGCTATATGAGGATGCGACATGCCGAGTGGTTCACAATAGAAATATCAGTGACGCTTTTAAAGAGAAGACAGGAAGGAGTAAGACAAGGTTGCCGCCTACTGTCACAGATGATCTTCTTGATTGCAATCGACTGGACTGGACTGGATCATGCAATGGGCAACTGTGAGGAGCTGTGAGAAGATGGGCATACGATGGCTGGATCGATGAAAAGACCCTTGGAAAAGATCTGGATTTCGCTGATGTTTGATGATTTATATCTAATGTCTTGTTGGACAAACTCAAAGATCTACAGGCGAAAAATAACAAGTTGGTAGAAGAGGTGAGGTGAGGCGAGGTAGCGAAGATAGACAGGACTTCCTTCAGGTGAACGTAGAGAAAGAAGATAGAGGTGATGAAGATACCTAACCAACAACAACAACACGCACCAATCACTATCAACGGGAGAAATCTAAAGGAATTTTTCCCTTCCACATACCTGCCTAGACAGCATCGTTTCAACTACAGGTGGCGGCGACGGCACAGACGAAGATGTCAAAGCCAGGATCGGAGAAGCAAGACAGGCCTTCACTAATCTGAAATCAGTGTGGATATCTACTGCCTTGCACTGCACTCAGCATAAAGAACAAGATCCAGATCTTCAACATTAATGTCGATTCCGTGCTTCTATACGGTTGAGAGACTGAGAGCGTTACGAAAAGCATTTCCAACAAACTACAGATGCACATCGATAGCTGTCGTCTACACTCACTCGATACTGAAGATAAGATGACCTGATAGAATAAGCAACAAGGAACTCTGACAGGGCAACGAACCAACCAGGAACCTATTTCCCAAAAAATCTGCAGAAGAAAGTGGAGAAGGGTTGGATTGGACATTCACGGAGAATACCGTTTAGGGACATCACGTACCAGGCCAAGCTCTCAAGTGGAACCGAAATGGGAGGCAAATACTTACGCGTCCAAGGGTGACATGGAGGAGATCGTGTAAGGAAGAAATGAAAGCTTCTGGGCAGTGGTGTAGCCAGGTTGAAAAGATTGCAGAGAACAGAGTGGAATGAAGACGTACAACCGAAGCCCTATGTTCCACTAGGAACGCAGAGGAAAAATAAAATAAAACAAAGAATAAAATGATGCTCATTGCTATACACCAAAATTTTCAGATGATCGCAAGCACAAATAACTTTTAATTGGCACTTTAGTCCAATTAATGTCAGGTTACTAGCCAATGAGTGATGAAAAGCTGATAGGTTTATAGATGAAGTAGATATCAGATGAGTCTCTTCACAGAGTTAAGTATTTACCAGGAACCAGGTGAAATAAGTCAAGCACTAACAGCTAATTTTCATTGGTAACCCGGTAAACACTGGCTTTTAATAAAGACTATTTTTCTGTAATCCGATAATCCCTACCTAATCCAAATGAAATCAGAAAGCTGTGGTAGATCATTGGTTTTATCAATGTCGCAGAGTTTACTGTAGATTGGAAGTGGTAAGTCCAGCACCTAAACCGATACCTATAGAATTGTATTTTTCTAAATAGGCTGAATATTTTAGTGAAATACCACCTACAAAAAATATAATTACCTTCTACGTAATCAAATAACTATTACTGTTTGTTGATATGCTTGTAATTTTCAGTTGTGTTTACTAGATTGAAATGTTCGACTTCTATTGGTACATGGGCTCCAGCACAGATGTTCCGATGTTTCCTGAATATTTATTATGCTGAATAACTTGATTGTGGCCTGCAAGGAAATCAAAGACGCTCGTTTCGACCTATTAGAGACTCCTCAACTAGATACTCATTGGAACCGAAATGTCAATAGAAGTCGAATAATCCGATCCAGTAAGAGAACGGCAAATTATAAGTATTTCAACAAATTGTAGTAACCAATACCCTTTGTTCAAAAAGTGGCTATCGTACCTCAGTGGCCTAATGGATAAGGCCTTGGCACTTGAAGTGATGGGTACTGGGTTTGAGTTTCAGTGAAAACAACATCACTTACTGGGGCGCAGGCAAATGCAGATGACGAGTCCCAAATAGGACGAAAAGCGTTTACTGGATTCCTCTGCTAGCCACAACCAAGCAAATTAACTAAGTAATTTTTAAAAGTTCAACTATATCACAATGAAATTTTCCTCTGAATCACACGTCTATTTGTTAAAAAGATGGTAGAGAAATAAATTAGTAGTAAAATTAAATGTCTGAAAAACATACAAAGATGCGAAAACTAATCTTTTGACTTGATTGCATCCACTGATTTAAAAGTAAACTTATGTTGAAACGGTGTATTTTATGTAAAACAAAAGCTTTAATAGTTTTAAGTGATTAAGCAATGAAGCATTTCAACAAGTATTGTAAGATAATTTGCGCGACGACATAAAAATTGCTTTCAAAAAACGTTTAAATTCTTTGTGATTAAGCTGGTTGTTAATATCAACATTTTCAGCGGAAAACTATCAATCATTCAATCTTTAACACTTGATTACTGGTTTCCAAAATAATTGTTACAGAGCGTCATCACATGTTTTGCTGTAGGATTCTAATTCATTTTATATTTCTTGAGACTAAAAAATACACTTTTCGTAAGATATTTCAATTTCTTAACACCGAGTTAAAACTTTATTGATCACTCAATTTTCAATATATGTCCAGAATGGAAATGAACATTCACGGATAGCTCTCAGCCACGTGTGCACATTAAAATTACAGACTGGTATCGATTACTGAGTTGTACAGTTGACTGTTCACAGTATCCAACTTTTGATACATTCGATGAAAAAGTGAATGGCAATCTGCGACCACAATTTCTCAAATTAGTCTCTTCGACAAAATCACTCCACATATGCAGTTAGATGAATTCTTTGCCATTTAGATTCCAACAAGAATCTTAAGCGCTAACTAAAATCTAGACTAATCTCGCTTAATGTAATTAAATAATGAAACCAGCTGGTGATGAGAATGTTAAGTTGTCATTGTTTGAATGTTTCAATGAACAATTTACCTGAACGCAATTATTCTCATTACTTCTGCCAGATGACTATAGCTCTAACAGTATAAGAAGGATAGCTGTTTTTTATGTCTATATTTTAAGAATAAGTGAAATTCTTCAGATACTTCAGTTGCACTTTATTCTCCACAGAGTGGTGTTTTCAAAAAATATTTCCAAAAGAATTTATTGAATAGTACCATTAAGAAACCTAAATTTAGAATCAGATATAAGTTGTCTTAGATGTTTGGGTGTCTTAATATAGTCAATAAGTAACCATGATGTACATTTTGTGCTCTTTGGCGCATTCTGACAAGCAGATGATTCCATAAAAGCCACCAACAAACCATTTAACTCGCCGCAAGCAAACATAAAGCTTAACTGCATTAAGCCTTGATATCAGCCTTATAGCAGGGAGGTCATCCTTGATCACCAGGAAGCTTTGCTGATTGCCTCCAAACAAACTAACAACCAACAAAGTACACTGCAATGGTGAATCCCCCAGGTTAGAAGCTATATTGCAAAATAATCAGTATAATACGGTCAGCACTGAGGACTAAATAACATGAAATAAGTTGCTATTGAGTGAGAAACCAGTGTGTAAACCAGTTCACCTACTCTTGCAGAGTAAAGCAAACCGGACATTTTGCGCAAGTCGTCTCAAAAGGATTCAAGAACACTATCTCCCATCGTTGCAAAAATGTGGCAGCGATTCCATAATAAATGAAATAATTTAACACGACGCCAACACTGCTCACACAATTCCACACCTTCCTGTTTCAAAGTCATCAACAGGATGAAAAGTAACCCAGTCAAGGTCTATGTGTTCACCTCCCTTGCACTCTCGAAGCCTTACCTATTCACGTAGAAAATACACACGTTTGCGCACTAAGCAGACTTGTGCGATCTAGTCTACTTACGTAGTCTTCATCTTCAAAATTTCAAGTCAACTCCATCATTCTGTCTCCATTTACGTAATATCAACCCTTACTGGTTGCTGTGCTTTTTCGGCAGCAATCGACTCCACAGGTAACTTTTCATGTTGGGAAAGTCATTGTAAAAATTATCCACTTCAGCTAATTTCCACTTTAGCTTCTACCTCTACCGAACTGAAATTACTATCCACCAACTTTAGTAAATTTATTATCTTTCACTGATGACAACTTATTCTGTATTGGGATAAATGTAAAAAATGAACAGCTTTTATCAATTAATGCTCATGCGACACTTTCTACACTCTTCCTCGCTTCCAAAGAGAATTTGTTATCCTTGAAAAGTGATGTGAAACACCAAAGAATGAATGTGATTACTGCTGACAAATATTCTCACTAAAATGATGAATGTCATCGGATTTCAAGCGCTACTTTTGGGAAGTAATTTGTGTGAAATGCTCCATTCGCTGTTAAGAGAATGCGCGTCTACAGACCATGTAAGCAGGAGCTATTTAACAATGAAGTGTCTGAAAATATTTGAAAGATCTATCTTGTGTTAGTGGTCAGTGGTGAGAAACCACCAATAAATTTTTTACTGTATATGAGAAAGAGACGTTTAATAACACAGCTTTCATTAATATACATTTTATTGAATGTAACTAAATGTTGGTGCCAACTTAATGAGAACATATACAAATAGCACTTTTCAATGTCGCCTGTTTTGGTATAGACTCTGTAATGATCAAGAAATCTTCCTTGTTAGGGTTGTAGTTCAATTTGTTGGCACTGAGTTCTCAACTTATTCCACTCAGTAACTGTCAACTGTCAAATGATATCGACAGATGGGTTCCAGAAAGTATACCTCGTCTTATCTTAAACTTGTTAGCTAAATACACCTACTTTAGTAAGCATTTTTGCTCTCTTTAAGATTCGAATCTAGTGTCAAACTTTTACAACATCAGATTGCGATCCACTTAAGTGTTGAATTATGATAAACAAGTTCATGCATGATCCGATTTTTCGAAATGTATAGCGCTAATACATCACGTGTTTCAGATAATCTTCGTCCTTTCATCACGCTGTTTTAATAGTTAGTGTGTTTTTGTTTTGTTTTTAGTCGACAACATCAGCCACAGCTGGCACAAAAGCACAAAGACAACATGAAATTACAAGCCATGATGTTAAGTTCAATAGTATTGTTTCTCCTAAGACGAAATTGGCTCACGTACGCACAAAGATGTGCGTGATTATTCCAACTGACTTATTTGATATTTGTATGAGTAACAATGGTGTATAACAGTATACACGTAATACACTAATTCTAATACACATCAGCTAGAGAAAAAAATAATCGCTGTTAATCAATTTTAAATTAGCTCACACTCATGCTCATTTTGAAGTTTGCAATGCGGGTTGTGTATACAAGACATATGTGTTTATGTGGGCATCTATTTGGAGCATCTTAATAGTATATACATTTCAATGCAGGTTTCTAACTGTGTTAATGTTCAACATACATACGTACAGACTTGTGCATCTATGTTTAATAAGATTACAGATAAATGGTTCTTGTATACTCATCAAAGTGTGCTTTATATACAGCAGCTAACATATAATTAACTGCCGATGATAGACAGACCTACAAACACCCATACACAGAGACACAAAGAGAAAAGAGAATTATCTGAAATCTGTGTTTATCTTACGGGGTCCAGATGTCTGAGTAATTGGTTCATATTGTTACATAAAAATGATAAGAACACTGAAAATACAAAAATTGCTTACTTATTGATTTTACTGTAGTAGTTTTAATATGCAGAATATTCAAGAAAAGAACATAATACAGCTAAATACGTAATTAATGACGTTTCTGATCATGGAAACAAATACAAAGTGTGAGAAATATGAGAAAAATCAACCCTCACTCTTAGAATGACAATACCACTGATGAAACCGAAAGATTCAGTTGAAAATAGTTGTTTAAAAGAGAAGTATGAACTAAGCACTGTCCACCGACATTAGTTTCTGACAACTAATTTCATTTGGAATTCATAAAGACATGCTCATTTCTGGTTGCACTCAACAAACAAATTCAAGGGAATTGAATTAAAAGCTACTAAGATGAAATTAACAACTAGGTGACCAGCTCACACACCCCTCTGAGTGATGCTGACGTAAGAAAGAAACTTTTAAAAACAACTCAGTAGCATAAAGTGTATGAATAAGTATGAGAAGCTTTTGTTTGATTTAATGCTCACGCAGCAAATAACCAAAAAAGAAAGTGACTACAAGATGGATACGAACCTGCAACTGTTTGACTATTGGCCCATCTTGGAAACTGGTCTTCATGAACCGGCATAAAAATTTAGTGCTCGGAATATGATTATCTGGGAAAAAATCCGAGTACAGCATATGTTTACTAAAATATATTTAAAACTGCTATAGGGAAGCCATTGTTGAATGCATATGTTAAGAGGCAACTCTGTATGCGAAAACAGAGCAATGATAAGATACAACGAAGTGTAAATCGAAGGAATGAGATGTTTTTAGAAATAATTGTAACAGTTTCCGACACAACAGAATTTATGACATGAAAACAGTATACTTTGAGTAGTAAAAACAGCCTGAATTGTTTTACATCTCAACTCTGTGGCTCCTTAGGCATTCAGTTAAAATTTATGTTGTTACTTATATTATCCTGTCGATGATTGGACCGAACTAATCAGTCTCCAATGGCATATGGGCTCCTGCATGGATGCCTTAATATTACCTGTTTCAGTTTTTATATTAATGATGGATAGCGCCTGGCAATGAAAGCAAGAACGCGTGTTTCGCCCTGTCAGCAACTCTTCGGTTGGATATACCTGGCTATCGTGACTCGGTGACCTAGTGGACAACACTTACATTTGAAGCCATCTGTCCCGAGTTTGGGTGTTGGTGGGAATAACAATGCTCATTGTGAGGCAGGTATATCCAGCTGACTAGTCCCAAATAGAGTGAAACGCATGTCCTGGATTCCGATGCTAGCCACTATCCATCATTAATATAATATTCAGTTACAGTGTTCAATATTTTTAACTACGAAACCTTGTAAGCACTCGCTAAACAACCTAATATGCACGTGAACTGCATGCTATTGAATATGCTTCTGTGATTAGGAATGTGACTGTCATAAAATCACAAGAACACCAGTCTACACACTCATCAATTAAATATGAGTCCCTACACTGTTGTTATCATCTACCTTTTCAGTAAGATAGGGTCATTCCAATTAATAATTTACCTAAGCATGTCGATATCCATTTAATAATATTAAAATGTTAAAGAGTATTCAAAAGACGATAGATTCATATTGAAAATGGTTTCAGTATTAGTTAGACGGTTTCGAAAATTTGGGTACTGAATATTAATCTACAAGATGAAAATACAGAGAGGATTACATCTTAGGTTGGTCACGTTTATAATTAGATTGTTTGATATCAGCTGCATAAACACGTGACATGATGTTTTGTTCATATTTTGACTGTATAGGCACCATTTAAACTCAGGTATATGCCACAGAATATGAGTAACTTGATATTGTTTTAACGTTTAAGCTCACTGTCTACCAAGCAATGGACATGAAATCCTATTAACTCAAGCGTTAGGGAAATTATACTCATATTCTACACTGAAGAGATTAAACGGAATTCTGAAAACAGTTTACTTCTGAAGTAACTTGCTCTGATCAGTTGATAATCGCAGTTAATAAATTTATCACATTTACGTGCTTTTAGAAATATCTAGTTGATGTGCTTATCTCAACAAGTTAAACTTATTGCGAAAGGATGACATCGACGAAACCAATTCCTTATTTCCTCGTGAATACAAACTGAAGTAAAACTGGATGAACAGACTTGTAAAATTTCTATTTCTTTGAATGCTGAGTGGTTTAAAGTGTTTGTAAATGCTCGCCTTTTTGAATGAAAGTAGTTATATATATATATATATATATATGCGACATTCATAGTCAAATCAAGAAACTACATGGCTCAGTAGCCAATCGCAAAGTTGCATACCCATTGTATAACGTCTTACACAAGTGTGGATAACATCATCTTGACGACATACCAGGTTTACAAGCTTCTAAACTACAGCTACATTTTCCTAATCCTTTTTTATGAGAGTCTGTAAGATGTACTAAACACGCAAATTACACACCATCCTATGCCTGTCACCAATATCACTACTGAATTCATGTGTATAAAAGTTCCTATTCAATCTATCAGTGTTGGAAAATGTCTGTTTGATAAAGTAATTCTAATTAAGATGGATGTGAAAAATACTTGAAGAATTCCCACTTTACTTTTCGACAAGTATTAGGCTTCAAAATTTAATAATAATTTGGAGTAGACAAATGAAGAGGATGCTGCTTTGTAGAAAGTTTTCAAGAAGAAATTAGAATAAAAACTAGGACTTAAATAGCCTCCTTCAGTGTGTTTCCTTCTGTATAGCACTTTAACTTTTTCTACTCTGTGATAAGCAACTTCACTTCGGTCACAGTTCAGTAGACAGACAACATCAGGTACTGATCTTTTTTATATCAGTGGACTGATCCAAATAAAGCTACTTGGTCAAGCATATACACCGCTTGTTCTGCTCTTTGCTACCCCATACTGCTCTTACACGTTACCCACTGGCTGGTTTAGTTCATGCACTTTAACTCATTCCTAAGATTTATATATGTATATTTGTGTTTCTTTGGGTAAATAATTGAATGGTTTTGTTTTCTCAGTGTCGTCAGCTGAGGCACTGTTTGATAACAATATGGCGGCAACAATTTACTTCTTTCATCTGTGATGGACAAAGCGTGTTCATAGTCGGATAAACTCTATACTTACTTAAAGTTCAAAATTTATCTTGTTATATGTCATCTAAATGATTATCAATGAACAATATTTCTTAAAACTGAATAGTGCAAACAAGACAGTGAAAAAAACCTCAACGTTAACAGCATATCAAAACAATAGTTCTGTATGCTATTCGTTTTTCATCGATGATAATGAATAGACAGCAATAAATATGTGAAATATTTACCACAGTAGTGAGCTAAACAAGAGAGAGACTAAAGTTTATCACTAGCGGGAAAATGCCATTCAAAAGCCTGCAGAAGGACGGTAAGGTAATGTCGTGCTGACTAATAATTTATAGAAAAAGAAGACTAAGTGCGAAATTTCGGAAGGCTTCTTAGATTCCATAACTTCCCTATAAAGGTAATTCATAAGGTATACGAAAGAATCAGTAAGTTATTCAATGAGAATCTTACACAAGGTTTGCTTCTTAAGGGCCCGATACAACTTGTAAGAATAACTAGGGAAAAACTTGGCCATCAACCTTAGCCGGTAAATTCTTACACTTAGTATTTTTGTTTATGGTACTATCGAGAGCTAAAATCTTCTAACGGAAAATTTATTTCACTTTTTGAAAAAGCGGACTTTCAAATTTTAAACGGTATAGGTCTCAACATAATGGGTCAATTTTTCATATTCCGAAGAAGATATCTACTGGTGAAAATGTGGAAGTATAACAAGTTATAAATAAGATTTCTCTCCATCTGCAATTTCTTTTTCTCTACAGCTAAATAGGAACATTTTGCTATCCGAAGAATGAAAAAATCGCCATGACAGTTTAGGAACTGAATTCGTTTCTATGGTTTTCCATAGAACTTACCAAGATGACAGTGAAAATTTATTTCCTGAAAAAGCAAACTACATAGCATGAATACTCTAAAATATTTTGGAAGAAACTTGATTTTTATCTTTCTGAATACATGTACTTCGAAGCGGCATAGTCAGAAGTATATTAACGCTGTTCACTCCTAACAGTCACAACTCGAATCCAAGAGATCACAATATCCTTTTCTTTTTATTTACACTTTACGGTGGAATAAACAAAGGAATTCGAAAAGTCTGCTATCAGCACCATAAGGAAACGAAGTAAAAATGCTGATATGAAACTAGGAAAGCAAAATTTCTACCATCATCGAAAAGTACGTGTTCACTATAAAACGACCCATTGGCTAAAAGTCAACTATCTAAACTCATGAGCCACGGCTTCTAGTATTTCAATCCAGTACTATACATTTGCCGTAGATCATGTTTCTAATAAATTAGATTTTATTAATTATTTTCCAATGAACTAAGGTACAAGTTCAAACATTTTTAGCGTCAAACATTTTTAAGAAACTTTATAGCTTGATGGTTTCCAAAATGAATAAAAATCTTTTGCTTTATAATGTAATAACTTAACCTAATCAATGTACAATTCAGCAGCCAATAGCATATGAGATGCCTGTAGTTTTTGTTCTTGCCATGGAACAAGTCTTAATTTAACCTGGCTTTTAATGAAGTAGTTCTTAGACATAGTTAATGATACACTGATAAACAAAAGATGAAGGCTAAAAAATATTATCAACTGATCTTTAAAACCAACTAATGATCATCATCATATGATAATAAAAAGTTTACTAAATTTTCACCTACAAAGCAATCAGTAGTTTAGTGCTCATTATACAGCTTTTCAGAAATATCACCATTTGATTTAAACTTATAATTTTCAGATGTGATCCCCTTTTTTACCATCTCATATGATATCTTAGGTTTATATGCCTATCCTATTTCATCTAGCTTGAATCCATGTGTTATTTAATAGTCATACATATTGGAGCAAGGTAAAAGATACCGCAGAACTCCATTTTAATAGACAATGAATAAAAAAACAACTAATGAGTAACTATGATGGCATAAGCCTTATTTTATTCTCATGGATTTCCTAATTTTTGTCATAATTATGTTTAGAAAATGTTGGTGGACATCTGAAAAACAATTGTTAATGTAAGGTGATTTGAAAAGGTAAAAGCACGTTGTTGACGTGAGTTTAATACTAATGACAAGCATTAACCACTTCCGTTTTTAATATCAATGTAAGTTCCATCCTATCTAAAACCCAAATATCCATAGATAATCAAGTACGTGCATATGTTATCATCGAATTATGAGACTAGGGTATACACAAGAAGTTGGTCTTGAAATAGTATTAACTGTTAAATAGTTACTGCTTGTCAGATATAAAGGTGCTTAATCTTTGCATTCAGGTCTCAACTACTAGGTTATGGGTATAAAAGTCTTAGTAGCTGAGCACCATCATTTAAAGACACTCAGAATTGCACAAAGTTGCTGAATGATCAGAATCAATCCAGTTACTTACCTCATTGGTTTTACCAACGACTTTGTAGCCTCTGCTACACAGTACCAAGTTAGCCAATAGCTGATAGCTCATAATCAAATGCACAAGACTATAAACTGTCATCCGCATATAAATTACGAAAGATTTAAACTCAGTGACTACGTATTTGTATAAAATACATCTACTTGAAAATAGTTGCTATAAACAGTGTCAGGGTGAGGCTTTCATTGTTACTACTTTACATTTTTCATTTATATCCATTTACAACCGTTTCGATTTCCAGACGTTCATCAAAAATGGATACACAAATATAGTCTCATAGTTGTTCAGACTCACTATAATGATACGCTCCCAACCTCAGTAACTCCTCGTCTTCTAAGTTTCAAAAAAATTTCTTGCTAAGCATTGTCCTCTATAACTTCACAATGCAATTGTCTGAATCTTCACTAACCTACCAGAAGATTAAAATATCTTAAACAATTAATGCATTTAAAATAAACAAATTGACCCGACACATTGTGACATTATGTTGTGCAATACCTACAATACACACTCGATTGACAGATGATGATCAACTCTGAACTTAGGAATATGTTTGGCACTATTATATGATAGAGGGTAGAGTCCATACTTCAATATCCATACAATTTAAACTAAGGTGGTAATAAGAGCATTATTCAATAATTGTAGTGAGCATTTTCAACTGTACTGGTTAGTGATTTTATTCTGATACATATTGTCCGAATGATCATATTGAAATATATCCATTAACAAAAGAACACCCTAGCTAGAAGTCTTCCCACTGTTCAAAAGTTAGTCGTAAATATGAGCAACAGAAGCCAGAACTAAAAATATTAGGAAACAATTGCTAAAATTATGATAAACAGCTTCCATTTATACTGGCAAATTACAATGCGAATAATTCGAATGTGACAGCTATAATTTGCGAGTAACTATAGTAAACTGTCTGAGAGTTTCTCTTTTTCTCTGTTACTACTTACTATCACACTTATTTTAGAGGAAGAGCTTGATTCTGTGCTTCCAAACTCTCTGTATTTTTTAAAGCAGTAAAAAGTATTCGTTCTATACGGAATCAAATAACTATAGACTTTGCCATTAGGTGACATTTGCAGCTACAATTCAATTGACTGAGGCACTTGGAAGGAAGCTCTGCTTGACCTTCGTTTCTCGCTTGCTGCCATTCGATAACAAGGCGTGTCTGCCACCTCGATGGACCTGATGTCCCAGTGCTGCAGACAGCGATGTCATCACTCACCTATTCAGGTCACAACTGACCTTCTGTAGAGCTGTATT